CAACAAGTGACGTGTGCTCTCCAGATCGTCTGATGACACAATTTCTGACGCAGAAAACCTCACACCAACTTCTCTTTCACAACTCACAAGTGTCAACAGATTGTTAACTCAGGTCCCGTCACTTCTCATAACTAATGCCCTCGACTGCTTAATCAGAACATTGCTTTGAAGACCACCAAACACGATTCAACACCCATATGGAACGGGCTGTTTAAGAAGATAACGAACGAAAAAACATGACATTCCCTGAGCGTGTTATCGATATATTGTTGACATATTGAAGATCTATGGAAGCATTCAATCGGAATAATTTATAGTAGATGTCAATCTTACACATCCCTTACTTCAAAAATTATAATTAATTAATAATTAATCTCATTCACTTTATTATTAGAAATATTACTTAAGTTGCATATCCGTCAATACATTTTACATATTCCACTGAGAGCTCTCTCTTCCGTTGTAAGCTGCTTCTATAGACATTACGAATTTGTGATGTGAAAATGTAGTTTATAAACCTTTATCCTGACACGTGATGGCACGTTATTCGAAGAGTTGTCGATACAAAGAGTTATCGGTAAACGTAGATGGTACTTTGCTTTCATTTGCGCCGTTGAAGGACTACAACCATTACTCACCATAAACCTATTAAAAGCATCAATGCTCTGTAACATGGTTCATTCCTCCCTGAACGTTCGCTCTGCTTATTAATTAAATAACTGAGAAGTTCCTAAACGTACCGAAATTAAATAAATGACAAAACATTAGAGAATTTCTCGAAAGGATAATAGTTGTAGCTTATTGTCCTTTATATATTAACCCCGTATCACACATGACAACAATAAGTAAATAAATATTTTATTTCAGTATAATAAAAATAATAATTAATTTTAATAAAATAAATAATTGATGGTTTTCGAACATTCATTCTAAATTGAGTAGCTGAAATTAATACGCATCACATATCTGTTGGAGCGAACTAAATTATTTTCTTAAATTATATTACCAAAAAGACTAGGGTTTCTAAATGCATTTTTTATATTTTACATGACAGTTCACTTGTGAATTATTTATCTTCATATTTCTCCTTATTAAATCCGAACACATTTACCGGTCAATATCAGAATAACATTCCATTGTTACTCTCAGTAACAAATTTTGAGTCCTCCTTTACGAATGCCTATTCGTTTTCGTTCAATCTTAATCTAAATTTATCTATATATTTATTTTTACAAGAAATAAATAATTAAATCCTTCACGTCTCTCGCCTTAAGATATTACAATCTAGAAAGTGTTTTAGAAGGCCCCATTCTGTGTGGATTTAATTCTCCAGTAAAAGGCGATTACTTCTATTTGAGATTATTCCTAAAGACCTTCGTTACAAAGACTACGCACAGCCCTTTGTGTTTGAACCAAAACGGAGCGACTTCTTGCCGTAGAATCAATTAGGTTAATGTTGTTGGCAAAACGGATCGGATCACCACTTGTGAGAGGATGGCCGGTGAGCAAAGAGGTGTCGGCATACGTATGGTTCGGCCAGTAAAGTAAAGGTAGTAAAGTAGATGGCACTTGTAGGACACAATACTTAAAACAACGGTTATTCATGGAAAGATGAAGAGTGGTGAATTCGTGCGAATTCGAAAACGGCAAGGCCAACAGAAACGATGGAATCGATGCAGGTGGGTGCAGGCGATCAAAGGGTAACAAGAGATTAGACACAAGTAATTTAAAGCTGCGAGAGAAGTAAAGGAGGTTAAGGCGAAGACAATACGAGAAGACGAAGATGAGTACAAAAATGCATAGAGGAAGAATAGAGTAGTGGAAATCGGGGGGATGGTGCGGAAAGGGGAGGTAACGAGGATCGAGAAATCGACGCGGAAGGAAATAGGTTCAAGAGGCGGCAGAAAGAGAAGCGAAAGTCGAATAACTGGAACGTTGGCCATGACCTACAGAGCCTGGAGTAATGGAATCTAAGAAGGTAGAGAGGAGGTTGGAATGCGGCCATGTGTGTAAAGTAAGAACAAGTATAGAGATGTAAAGTAGTGCTTTAGTAAAAGTGCAGAGTAGTGAAGGCAAGCACAATAGCGGGGACTGAATGAATGGAGTGTAAACACGATAGAAATGCCGAGGTGGTAAGGTATTGGTTAGGAAGAAACAGTCGGAGATATGGGGACTGGGTTTTGGGTGGGACTGAGTAAAGGTGGAGTCGATGTGAGTGCGGAGAACGTTGGAAGCGTACCAATGCTGCAGACGAGACACAACGAGGCCAAGGGACAAGGGAGGCTGTAGAAATGCTGAGGACGACGGTGACGATAGAAATGCCGAGGGCGAGTGAGGAGATATTGAGGACATCAGAGACAGTGGGAATGCTCAGGAAAAGTGAGTCGGTAGGAATGCCGAAGACAAGGGAGGCGGTGAGGACGAGAGAAACGGCGATTGGTCCTGGGTTCCTAGAAGCTTTGGGGCCGTCGAAATCAGTTGGGCGCGCGTAGGCGGCGCTGAGCGCTCTTAAGAAGCGCCGCGCCATCCCGGGAGACGTTACTGAGGGCAAGCACGCGCAGATCCACCGGAGGCAAATGAGGGAAATGCCTCTAATTTGTTTCAGTAACTATTAATTTTAACTTGTCACGAAACTTCCAGGCAAAAATATTTTCGGGTAGTTATTAAAACGAATAAAATCATATCGCAGTATGAGCTGATTGAAGTCTACGCCATTTTACAAAATCAGTAATGTGACACATTCAAGCAAAACATTTTGAATGTCTACTTCTAAACTTTGTGTCTGGATCCGCCCTTGGAACAATAGAGACGGTGGGAATGCCGATGGTGAAGAAGTCGATACTCAGCACAAGGGAGGCGGTGAGGACGAGAGAAACGGCGATTGGTCCTGGGTTCCTAGAAGCTGTGGGGCCGTCGAAATCAGTCGGGCGCGCGTAGGCGGCGCTGAGCGCTCTTAAGACGCGCCGCGCCGTCCCGGGGCGCAGGTTCGCCTTACTAATTGAAGCTTGCAGCGCGGCGTTAATGAGGTTCGCGTGCAATTTGCGCGGGATCTAGCGATTATTTAATTTGCGCGCGCTACTTCGCCGCTGCTGTGGCTCATTAGGCGCGCGCGATGGGGCCGCCCCCCCTCCCTCTCCTCCCCCTCACCCACTCTCCCCGCCCCCTCGCTACCTATCCTGCCTTCCAGCTTCGTGGCTTTAGCGCTTTACGACACCTGTCGTAATCCTGCTCCTACGATAAGAGCTCTCTCGTTTTTCATCCCGTCTTTCTGTGATTTGTTGTATTATGCAATGGAACTCTGGTAACTTGATCAATTATTAACTATTTGTCATTTATTATTTGCTTAATTATTTGTCATTTATAAATTTTGATTTATAATTGTCTTTACATTAATCCGTAATTTAAACATTTAATAAAAGTTTATCAGTTACGAACAGTTAGAAAAAATTCGAGTTACCTTTTATCTTTTCTAGAAGTATCCAGGTTCCACAGTACTTTGCAAATATCTTCGCTCGTTCGTCTTGCTCCGAATTGCTTGTACATGTTTGTCTATTTTATAATACAATAATTTTGTCTCAATGTCGGGCTGTTTTTATTTGCGTTCAAAAGTACACATGAACATTTTATGTTAGTATGAAAGAATAGTTTGATCTTGTTAATTTTCATTTTGTTTCTTGTGACTGCATTTTTTCAGCATGATTATTACGTGTAACTGTCATGAATGAAAACTCAGACATTAAGCACCAAAGGTAATTTATAAGCATGTAAGAAAATAAGATTTATTGAAATATTTTCAGTCATTTTGACTACGCCATCTCCTAGAATTTTCAAGTATTAGGTACGGGATAATGACATTTCTGCTAGTCCAAGAATCCCTGCACCCTACTAAATTCAATAATATTTTCTCAATAAATATCAAGAAGTCCAATTAAGTATTTAACACCCTTGAGAGCTTCAGTCTTCAATCGGGTTTGTATATTTTTCCTCTAATTTTGTTCTCTAACAATTTTCCGGTGAGCTATCGTATAGTCGATTGCTTTGTATAGAAAACACGTTATTTTCCCTCAGACTCTAGTCCAGGGGTCGCCAAACTTTTAAGCGACTGATCTACCTTAGAGCTCGTGAACCTCACCGTGTGCTAGCCATCAAAGTAGAAAAACAACACATGTTTTTGTTATAAATACAGTTTACAATACATACAGTTGTTTCTTACCTATAAATATATATTTATAGTTTTTTATTAAATTTAATTAAATGCCATTTAACGCACACTGACTGACACTTGACAGACCTGCGCGTGGGGATAGTGGGGATGAGTAGTGCAGATTAGCCAACCAAAACACTGCGTCTGAAACATCCCCGCGAGCTACCAAAACTTTCCCTGCGAGTCACCAGCTGCTCGCGAGCTACGGTTTGGCGACCGCTGCTCTAGTCCATCTGCTTCCTCATTTCGTGTCGTGCTCCGTCGTGGCTGGCGTGGCTTGGAGGCTCCCACCTCGCACCAGAGGCGCGTTAAATGCGCGTGTTTCGCCGCCCGCGATAGGCTGCGGCCGCGGCTCGTTAGCCGCCCCGTGACGCGGCGCTCAACGCGCTTCGCGCAGTCACGCCTGCGGGCGCAGACGCCACTTCGTAACAGAACCCTAACGACGCTTGTCCCGTCGGCGCCGAGAAGGCTTGCACAATGGCGAGTAGCTTCTGACCCTTGCCTAGCATATTCTTTACTGATTCGTCCCGCTTTTTTCACTCTGGTTCTGAAGGAGGGCAACCACGAGCTTGTCGAAACTGGCTCGTGCCGCTTGTGTACCTGGTTCGTTGTTTGCACCGTGATCTCGACAGATTTACAATAGGCTTGAGGGAGACTAGATAAGCCTAGCTTGCCCGAAGACGCCCTCTTTAATAGAAGGATGGTATATTTCATAGAGAAATGGAATGTTTACTTCTTGCTTAATCCTGTTCATTATATTTTTCTTTGAATTCTTCCCCCTGAATAAGTTCTTTACCTATTCTGTAAATTTTTTTGACATATTTTTCTTCTTTGGTATATTTTTGCAATTCTTCTAAGAATTCTCATTTCGTAATTTCATGAGAGGATTATTATGAGCAACTAACGAAGTCTACTGCTTGTTATTGTTTTTCCAATATTTCTCTTCTTAATTAACTGCATTTTTCTCCGACCTCTTAGTATTCATTCTTTCTCCGATTTTCTAGTGTTTCTGTTGAATTGTGTTTCTTCCCTTTTTGAACACTTTTGAGAGCTTTCTAGATTTCTTTGAGAAATTACAAGAATATGAAGCAATTTATCTTTTTTTGAAGCGTTGCTAGCAATAAAGAAATACAAGATTAGTTCTTAAAAAGCACTCAGGAATCGTAGTTTTGATGATTTATTTGTTGCATTATATTTTTGTATTTCAGACCCGCAGAAATGTGTAGATTCTTGCTCTTGCCTGTTGCAATACGATCATTTCAGGAATATATTTCGTGGCTCATACACTGCAATTTGAAATCACCCCGCCCTAGTGTCTACCTTCATGATCACGTGATTAATAAATTCAAATTTTGCATTTGTTTCTTCAGCACGTCCTGATTGAAAGTGGTTTTTAGAACACGAAATTCAACTGCGCAGGAGCGATCTCCGAGACTTGGTGGCGAAAAGTTGCCAGTGCCCGTCTCTAGCGCTGCAGTCCCGCTTGAGACGGTCACATGGGATGACTCATGTGGTTCTGTTCTCTGTCGCAGTGGAGAACGCGCTTTGAACGCGAGACCTAGGAATGCTTTTTTACGCCTGACTGAATGCGGTGGCGCCGTTGAAATGCTCGCGAAATGATGGCACGTGGACGTGTTTTCGTCTGACTCGCCTCTGATGGCCCAGTTTTCTACCTGTTCAATATCCACAGAGAAGGTCGTTGTTCGGATGTGAGATGGTACGACGCACATAAGGAAGAGTGTTGTTGCGGATGTTTTGCGTACATTTGAACGATTGGTTTTAGTAAATTCAATATTATTTTCCAATGAGTTCGATGACTTTCTACGTTTTGCCAGACCGTTAGTTAGTTGCCTTCTAGCCAGGGGCAAATGTCACATGTACAACATATGCTTATTGGCAAAATGTTTAACTTTCGTCCTCCATATTTGACATAGATGTTTATGACATGTATTCTGAATTTGTTTGTGTTTGTTTATTGGCAAATGTTCCATTTTCGTCCTCCTTACTTGTGCTAAAGTTTGTGTCATTTATTCTCAGATATCCAGTATGCAAATAAATGCATTTATTTAATACGTAAAAATCTAATTGACATTCCGAACTTATCCTGCATTTCGATCAAATTTGCCGTCATGCTAATATACAACTCCAGAGATCAACTCTAAAAATTTACGACATTTATACTTCAACAAAAATGGCGTGAAGGCTACCGGGTTATTCCCAGATTTTTTCTCGTTTTCCTTGTAACTTTATTGAACATCTGAACGCGCCCACCACCTCTCCTTCGATCGAGACAGAGAGAGAGGGGGGGAGGGGGAGAAGACGCTTCTGCCTGGCAAGAGGCCCCCGCCAGAGCAGCGCGCGTTGTTTAGCCCTGCCGCGCACAATGGCTCTCGTTGGAAACATCCTCCTGCCTGCCAGTCGCCCGTCATAACATCTCGACCGCTGGCAGGCGGGCGGGCGGGCCCGCATCTTAGAAGCGGCGTGGCGCTGGCGTTCTACGTCAGCGGCGCACACTGGCCGGAAATGGGACACGAGGCACGCGAAGCGAATGATATTATCGATGCATACAAAATACGAAGAGTGTTCGTTTAGAAATGTGGCATTTCCACTCAACCATTACGTGATTTCGGTTTTAAATGGATAGGTGGTGAGCCCTAGATGTGTTATCAATTGTTCTTGTTAACTATTTTTATAGTAAAAACCCTACATTGTAATAATATATTAAAATTAATGGAATGAATGTTGCCGTAATTTGTTCATTACGTCAATTTCAAGATCAACTTCAATAATTATAGATAGTCAGAGCCTTTTGTTTAGCGAGTTGCAATTGAAAGCGTCGTACATTCGCATTGTGAACTTTGAGGTTATAGTTGCCGAAGGCGAAGATACGAGGTTTGTTGGTTTTTGATCGAAGATTGACCATTTCTAAATTGCAAAGATGAGGTTTATAAACAGTAATGTCCACCAATAGTTTGACAGAGTCCCTCAACCAAAAATGTTTAAATGATTCGTATTTTTATGGTGACGATTACGTTTCTGAGGAAAGAGGAAATCGCTTTTACCGCAATTAGTTCACTACAGCGTACATGCACAGATCTTTGGGGGGAATTCAATTACATTTTAGAATATTATTTAACTCTTTACGTACCCACTAAATTGGTGATTCTAATGATCCATTAGTCTTGGAGTATAAGTACTGAAGATATGAAATGAGGGTTTTCGATTTTCCGTAGACTGCAAGATTTTACTATTATTATTATATAGTGTGTGAGTTATTATTTTCTGCAATAATTATTATCTAACCACAACCAGGTATTTCCCAAATAGCAGTACCGCCCCAGCCGGGCAATCTCTAGTCTCCCGAATCCGGTATTCCGGCATGTTCGGTAGTGTAGTGCGTGTAAGGATAGAGTGTGTTAGTAGTGAGGATACGACAAGGAAGAGGAAGATGAGATCGCGCGAGATCCCGTGGCCCGTTTGTTAGGTTACTTGCTCCAGCATTCGCCTGGTGTTGATCGGAGAAACGCCGGAAACCGCACCTATCAGAACAGCCAGCCGCTTTCATTCTCCTCCAGACAGCGACTAACTCGACCCAGCTTGTAGCTAGAGTAGAAAATCCTGCAACCGTCGGGACTCCTCCTGTCAGAGTGACGTCAGTCGATGCCCTGAGCCACCTCTCCCGCTCGCGGTTTCGCCCCACTGTGCGTCGCGGGGGCGGCTCGCGAGAGGGGGGGCAGACGCGCGTGTGCGATGCGCGATGCGTGTGGGCGCGGCAGCGCAGCGGCGGGCGGTGGCCGCTGGGTGGGCGGGTGGCTTGCCAGGAAGCTAACGGCTGGGGGGCAAAGCTTGGCAGTGAAGGGCGGGGCGGATGTTGGGTTATAGTGGGAAGAATGCAATGGGGAATTTGGCGGTCGGAATGGCAAAGAAAAATGATCGAAAAATTGATGAAAGAGTGTTGTGGTTAAGCGGAGATGATGAGAATACAGCTCTGCGTGGCATCGTCAAAAACGACGTTCTAGGCCGGTGAGATAATGCTCAGACGTTGGACGGGCACGGAAGATTTGATAAAAATTCACCTGTACACGAACGCCTCCGCTTTTCGAGTTCTTTTATACCTGTCCTTTCACTCTTTTCGTTTTATACACCATTGCTCTTCAACATTATTGGTATTGTTTTCTAGAGTCCATGTTTCTACATGTAGACATTCAATACGAAATGCTTTTAGTTAAATTATACAGAAAGTATCGAAGTTTTCCTGAATGTGAAGTAGTTTTATATGTAAGCAATTCACAATTTAAAGCCACTCAAAGGAAAACTTTCCTTAACGTTATCATGTTTTTAAAACGCTATTTTCTTACTAAACGAAGATTTATCATGTGCGTTAGAAAATAATAACCCGCCGCGGAAAGGGGATTTGAGGGCACCGCAATCGTCCGCGGGGGCGGAAGCGGGGCAGAGAACGGCTCGGAAAGGGCGAAGGTGACAATGGCGGGGGGGGGACAGGGGAACGTCTCGAGCGAAGGCGCGAACGGAGGCAGTGGCAGGGGAGTGCGGGGGCGAGGGAAGGCGCGGGATCAGCGGGGTCACGGGCGGCGTAGGCGCGCAAGCGACGACCGCCGACCTCGTGCGCCAGGGTCAAGGTGCCACCTGCCACGCCCGCCCACCCTCACGTGGACCCGTGCGTCGATGGCACGTGCGTGGGTGGAAGCTCGGAATGCGGCAATCGGAAGGGCCTTGCGCGGTAACGCTGCCTTCTATTTTTTAAAGATAAACATAATTTAGTCCCGTAGGGTGTCTTGTGACTACCAAAACAATGAATTCTCAATTTATAGAAAATATATGTCTAAATAGCATTTTTATTTTTTTCTTCTGTTTTCCACTCCTAAAACTTGTCAGCGTTGTCAAACAAATTTCTTGAGGTGTCCCGCAGGTTGGGAATAATGATGTACGGAAATGCAGATATATACGTTTAATTTGGAGGTAGAATTTTAACATTCCAAAGTTTTAAAACTTTCTCTCAACAAACAGTTATTCAACAGGACACAAAAGGGCAAAATTTCAAACTTTTCCTCGAGAATTTTGGCTACAATGAGGGAAAATATTCTATCTCTCTAACATTTAAACCACGTTCGAATGTAATTGATTTTTCTTCAATAATTAATTACTATATCTACAATATATAATTAATATTTGTACAATAAATAATATAGAAACAGCAGTACTCAAGGGAAAATGTAAATAACAATTGAAAATGTAACTACCTATTAGAATAGTTATGTTCATTTATTATTTAAGATTATTATCAAAGATTATCATTCAGTGTTCAGTTGTTGGTTTTTCTAAAATCGAAATTATTTTCTCATAAGTAACGTGAAAAGTTCAAACATGTTCAGTTTCAATAATTTGAATGATAAATCAAATATACATTTAATGAACACAAGTTTTGCCCGTAAGAAAGACACATATGTCCACATTATGTTTTTATTACCACGGGTTCATGAATTTTTGTTCAGGGAACTTATTTTAAGCATTGGTTTATTTTTTTCAATAACTTTTTTTAATTAACTCTTTGTAATAAACGAAACTTTTTTCTTCCGATAGGATTTTCTGTTGAGTTAAAAATATAATGCTAGAAAGTAAAAAAAAAAAAAAAAATTGCTTTTCTTTCCATTACCTTCTCCAGATGGTTAGAAGGTCGAAGCAGCGTGAAGAAAAAACTGTTAGAAGGGTCGTTAGTGAGGAAACTACCTCACTCAGAGGAACTGACAAAAAAAAAACTTGTAGCAGATGCCCGTCGCTTCTCAACATGCCATGCTACAAAGATAAGTTCTTTTCGAATGATGCTCCACACGCCTGTAAGTCAGTTCTTTAAGGGAATGTTTAACATGTGTGGGAGCAGAAAAAGATGGGGAAGAAATGTAGAACATGAAAGATGTTTTTCGATGTAAAGCTTAAGCTAATAATAAGCAAAGTATAACATATATGGCATTTTTTGTGGCTTAAATAGTGCAACATTTTAATCAGAGCTTTGATAAATTCACATATTGTTTTCGATATATTCTGTGCACATATTGCAAAATACGAAGAAGGTGGAATAGAAACGATTAACGTTTCGAGAAAAGACTTCTGAGCCGTGTGAGAAACTGTCTAGAACGCACGGCTCCCATACTGAACACCCCTGCATAGTAACAACAGAAACTCCAATATCTACTCCATCTAACATTGCGATGCATAGCTGAGAATACGTAATGCCCCGTTATCTTGCCCCGTAGCCTGTCCATCAAACTAGCTCCGTAGCACGTCAGAAACCAATCGAGGGTTAACGGCAATCGACATATATTGGAACTCCACGTTCTGATAGCAGCCTACGGTACTCCCCACAAACTCTGCTCCTCATAATAACGCCCTCAAAAGCTCGTGTCGCTGTCACCAATTGCATGGGTATAGAAGCTGGAAGAAAAAAGATGCAAGAACTCGGACACAAGCTTTCGTTACCGGTACAATATTGTTGTTAGCGAGAGCTACTTTGCTGGATAATACTTTTCTGTCAAATATATCGTTTCTCAATCTGCATGTAATAAATCGAATATTCCACTATATTGTTGTAATATTCCACTATAGTAAAAGCAATTTATAAACATCCTGTCCCCGTGGAACCACCTTAAGCCGCTCCTGAAGGTCACTCCTCTGCATTTCGTGGCCGACGTTAGCGGAAGATTTTCGGCTTCAAATTGAAGAGAGGTTTCCAAAGTGGCGTATCTCGAAATATGCCTTTTTTCAGGAATACAAATTATTGAAACTCAGTCATATAGTTCAAGGTAGTGGCTTTTGGATACCGATTAACATAATCTTTAAACACAATATAAAGCAGCACGGTGGAGAAGCATATATAAAAAATATATGGCAATACGAAACAGAAATGGAAATACGTCACTTTGTAACTCAGCCCAATAAGAAGTTTTAGTTACGTTTTATTCACGCCATGTTTTATACAAGGTATTTTTTAAATGGCTGATTGAAGTTATCAAGCCGCACGTGTAATTAAAAATACCAAGTTCATGGATGGAAAAATATACTCTGACAATAAAATTAGCCATCGGCGTCTGCTAAGAACACGATGACTACTTGCGGTAAACAGTAGTAGTGACCATCTTCGTTTATTAGTCCTATTCACGCCCAAAATTCAAGCCTTCAGGCATTCTACCTCTTAGTTCGGAGCATCGTATTTCCTTTCTCACGCAACTTTCTGTATTCCGACGGACGACAAAACATTTTGAGTACTCTCTTTTATCGGTTCTCATTCTTAATGTTATGAATAAAATATCGTCATAATAGGGGCATGACAATGAATGTTTCTCCAGTAAACAAAAAACACAGTATACCAAAACTACTCCATTTTCTTGAAAATGTTGGTGGGGGACGTTTACCCATCCTTACTGACATAGACGACTATGCCGTATACAAATCTAATTGTACGGATTTTGTTTAGAGAAATTAACCAAGCGTAATTTTCCTCCCACAAAAAAGCGTCCAGTCCGGTCGGTCATGTTTTTGAACAAGCGAAAGAGGACGGAAATTGTAACGTGTGTACCACGGTCTAACGACGCATTAACCCGAATATTAATCTCCTCAATGATATTCACTCACCAATGCATGAAGCCTCAATGGTCCTTACAAATAGCAGATGGGCCCCTGTAGTCACATAAATAGCATTGACCAGGGCGATGTACTGCAACG